CAGGTTTTCATATCGGTTGGGACAGCAGATTTAACACATTTTTCAGCTACTGCAAACAGCCAGAACAAACTCTCAGCCCTTTCTGAGAACACCTCCTCCTTCCCCCCCCACCCCGCACCTGATTAAATTTAAAATCACCTTGAAAGTACAACTGCATCACGGGGAGGGGAATCTATTGCCTGGACTCATTGGTCAGCTTTGAAGGAGTTTTATGGTTTTGGTGACTATTTTATGCTTTTTTCATAATTAACCTTTTCCGATAAGAGAGTGACAACTAAAGTGGACATGGAAGAAAATCAATACGTTGCCCTTTGGTTACAAATGAGAGATCGTGTGATAGTGAGAGAGTCTGACATGGGAGAACTCAGCACAAGGGAAGATTTATGTTGGGACTGATCTTGTCTCCGGCTCCAGCTGCATTGATGTTACTGGGGTGTTTGGTTGCGTAAGGGCTATAGGATCAGATCAGTTCTGTCTCCAGAGTGTTCATTAACAGAGCCATAACTGTGAGCAGTTAATTACTTTTGTTAAAAAAAATCATCAGTGCCCTTTCTGTGTGTGGCATTTTGCAACACCTACAATATTGTTTCAGCAGGTGTCACCAGGTGGTGCTGCTACAGAGTCTTCCAAGTTCTTTTTCCTGACATGCACAACCGAATGTTCAGTCCTGGGAAGACCTGTTGTGTTGTTGTTAGCTTTGGCTAGGCCCAGTTCTGCGTTGAAGGCAGTTTCTGTACGAGCAGCAGGACAGTTTGATTTCTGGCGTTGGAATCTGATTTGAGTCAGTTCTTAGGGCAGAGTTGTCCTGTAAGAATTGAGGATGACTGAGAGTCCTGGAAAAAGGGATTGCCTGCTGTGCTGTTTGACCACCTCTGTTCCAGGCCTGGAGTATGTGTGTTAATGACCCAAGTTACACTTAGAATATAACCAGGCATCACTGATTTCTTCTCCACTGGGAAGCCACCTGGAAGGCCTCAGACGTCTGCTGCTGCTCAGCAGAGGGGCAACGCTGCTGTCAGAATGGGACACTGGCATCAGGAGAAGGCAGTATATAATGGACTAGGGAGGGGACATGAGGGTGCTTGGCACCTGTGAACAATCATGGCACGTGGATCACTGGTACGCTGTTCAGAACGCATGGTTTTTTGGAAGTGATTTGAAGATGGGGCACCTGGCAGGCATTATGGGAAAGCTTTCTGGAGCATACAAGGAGGCCTGAAAGAAAGCACCAAGTTCAGGGTGGGATGAATTGACAAAGAGGTCTGTAAGGAGGCATGTTTAGGCAGAGGACAGGGTGAGTGGGGGTTAATGAGGGCAAAGGTAAATGATGGCAAGAAAGGAGGTGGGTCAAGTGGGGACATGGGACTGGTAGGTAGAATTCCAGGATTCTATTTCTGACTCTGTGTGACCCTTGGAGCATTAAAACCTTTCCGTGCCTTAGTTTACCCCTAAGATTTTAGTCTGCCATAGGGTTTTCTATAATGCCTAACACTAACATCTAAGTTCCTGAGGGTAATAATACCTACCATACAGGGGTTTGGTGGGGCTTGATTTACTGTTTTGAGACACTAGTGTATTTTCTTTCTTTCTAGGCACTACTGCATTACAAATAATAACTAAGCCTCACCGCACCCTTGAGACATGCTGCAGGGTATGTATTATCCCCATTTTACAGGTATGGACACTGAGGCAGAGAGCTGTTGAGTCCTACATTTTCATATTTGGGCAATAAAGTTAGGCACCTGAATAAGTAGCCTGATTTTCAAAGGCACTGGGCACCTGCTGCTCCCACTGAAATTAATACCAATCTAGGCAATGAATGTTAGGTACCCATGGTTGCACAGTTTGGCCTAAGTCATTTTCTCTCTGTCACATGGGGAGCTGGAGTCTGTGGTTCACAAAGGCTGCTTTGTGGTTGTGCCACTTCGTGGGACAAAGGGCTGTTGTGGGGGCACCCAGAACCCTGCTGCCTAAATGCCCCCTGAAGGCTGCTCACTTTTATGTTGGGGACTGGGTCAGTGCCCAGAGGCCTTGGGATTGGGGCCTCCTCCTCTGGATTTCTGCCAAACAGAGTGTAGCTAGTCCAGAGAATCTGTGTCAGAGAGTCAGAGCCGGGATCAGAAGTGCCAAGGTCTGTGCTGTGAGAGCCACTCGTCTGTAGGAATTACATGGACTTTGCAAACATAAGTAAAAAGCAAGGAGGTCAAATGCTGGTCTGAACAACCTTGATACTGCAGTTCACCTCTGGGAGTAAGTAAATATCCCCTCAGTTGCATGCTGCAGAACAAACACTGCACTTGTCGGGTGCAGTTTGATCTGGAGAACAGTCAGCAATTTCTGGCAAAGGTCAACTCTCTCTGAACCCAGCCCTGCAAGCGCTTACCAGGGTGCTTGACTTTGTGAACAGTCCCACTGAGTTCAATGGAATTACTCACATGCTTAAAGTTAAGCACCTATGTGGCATTGGAAGGATCAATGTCTACATTAATTCTGTTAAATACTGCATAGGCCAGTGGACCCCTACTGGCTCCCTACATGTACGTGAGTGACAGTTCTCATTCTACGCAGCCACACAACGTGTTCATATGTGTGCGAACCATATTAACGAGTAGGGAGAGCAGAGCAGATATAATTTATGCTCTTTTTTCTCACTTGGATTAACAGACTGGTATTGAACACCGGGGTTTCCCAAACCTGCTAGGTGAAGGGAAAGGCAGCGGAGGACAAGTTACACAAGGACAGGAAGAAGGGAGTGACGGCCTCCTAGACCAGCATCTCACTCTATGCTGAAATGCCTTTCCTGATCATAGGTTTTCTCTTCTAAAAAATAAACCTGGCCAAAGACTAATCACTCCTGCTGAACAAAAACCAAAATCCTCATTCGCAGCAGCTTCCAGTCTGACGCTCAACCAGATACAGCCTGGAGGCATAAGGGGGGTGTTATTTCGTCATTCTCAACCCACTGGTTTTCCAATGTATCAAAACCACTGAGATCAACTCATAAGCGAGGAGCCCAGTCTTGCAATTGGATCCACATGCACAGATCCCTGAGCCCAGGTTGAAGCCCCATTTACTTCAGTTTTGCCCCTAACACCAGTGGTCTCCGGATGGTTCGGCTGTTTTGGTTAGTTGTTCCACTGCCCAAGGTGAACTTGCATGGTCAGTTGTGATCATTGAGTATTTCCATGTATTTCAGCACAGGGTGGCACGACAGTCATTAGATCCACAGGCTGTGTGTTTTTAAATGTTTTTATTGATTTTTAACATTCATTACGTGAAGTACAAACTATCAGGTCTCAGCTATTGGAGAGACAGTAAAATGTCTAACATTGAGAGCTGCCAATCAGAAAAACGTGTATTTTATATCAAACCTGAGTAACAGGGCACAGCTATTAGTCCATGTCCCAGTATATATTGGGAGGAAAATTATATAGTTTTACTACCTAGAGTCCTGGTCCTGCAAAAATACATCACTTTACTCACATGAGTAGTCCCATTAACTCAAAAGGGATTACTCCTGGTAGTAAAGGAAGCCTTTCTATTGACTTCGGTACATTTTGGATCGTGCCCATACACAATAGCATCAACGAGGAGAAGGACACAATGCGAAGAGGATCAATAATGTCTTCCAGCCACCTTTTTGCTGAACCGGTTATTTTCTCCTAAGCCTCTAGTTCACAAGGACCAGAGCACCAGATAATAATACATGACATGAAAAAGGATCTTCACATCTGGTGATCTAACTTATTTGTAAACAGGACTTATCAGGACATGCGTCTGACGAAGTAGGTATTCACCCACGAAAGCTTATGCTCCAATACATCTGTTAGTCTTAAAGGTGCCACAGGACTCTCTAACAGGACTCTCTAGGACTTATCAGAATATCTTCCCCCTTTCTCCTCTGTGTGTGTACATACATATATATATAGGAGCAGCAATGCACCATGTTGCCACTTAGTGGCGCCCAAGCATTTTGGGACCTCTGCAAAGAGCAGTTTGTAGGACACTTGGCAACAGCTACAGCTACGCTCCTGCCACCCGACCGAAGTCAGGTGAAGTCAATGAGGCTACACAGCTGTAAATATAAGTGGGGTTTCGCCCTGGGTGTATTGCATCAGAATCCACAAGGTGATCCCCGAGGCTACGCCGGATAGAAGACATTTGTTAAATGAGTCGCTGTGGAGAGGATCCTAATATTTCTTTACAGGGAACCCTGATAAGATAAGGAAGATGCTGGGAGACCTAGTGCACAAGCCATTAGGCCTAAAGGGTTGGCTCTTCAGGTCCTGGACGTTTATACAGAAGGTGAGCAACGCGAAACTGATGACTGGTACGGTCTGACTGCTGGTAAAGGAAACCTGAAATGGCATCTTAATCTTTTAAACATGGGTATTGTGGAACACATTTTGCTAAGCAAATATTAGCTTTTTTCCAAGGGAACGCTACAGCAGGTATCAGCGAAGGCAGGGCAATAAAACAGACAAACTTTATCTAGAAATAACGGGCCAAGTGCAGACTGGGTATAACCCGGCTGCCATTACATTCTCTGGGCCACATTCAGTGCTTATGTTTCAAGTTAAAAATGAGCAGAAGTGGCAAAAACAGAGTAACTTGCACTGATCTGGTCCTCCATGGGTGTGTCAAAATGAGTGTGACTTACACACTGAGGGAAATGAAAAAGGGGGAAATAGCAGGAAAAACAACCAACAGGAGAGTGTAAAGTGTATGTGGCAGGGGGTTGCTACTTATTTAACAACCCTCTGTCAGTTGCTTTTCATTCTACAGCCCCGCTCCATCCAGCTGTTTCACCTCCTTGGTGTGTAAGTCACCCTGGGTTTTGCACATCCAAACTGGAGCAAATCACACACCCAGAGCCCATTTCTGCCTTCAGTGACACAATACGACTCTGATTGAAATCCACGGGAACTGCACTGGTGTGGCAGAGGACAGAACTGGGTCTCCTGTAACTTACCACTAAAATTTGGGCCATTAGCTACTGATTAAACCCCCGGAACTTCTGCTTCAGAAGTGGCTCTGGATTTTCTCTTGCTGGCCAGGGTGGTCAGGATGGAGTCCTCACTGAAGGCCCCCTCGAAGGCAGAGAGGATGGACTGTCGGAACTTCTTGAAGTCCTGCCCCACAAAGACATAGAGGATGGGGTTGATACAGCTGTTGAAGAAGGCAAGACTGGAAACCAAGGGGATCCCTATGTAAAGGGCCATTTTCAGCTCCTGATTGGAAGAGTTTTTAGACATTTCCAGCAAGCAGAAGACATGGTACGGGAAATAGCAGAGGAAAAAAGACACTGTGACAGCAACAATGATCCTGAAAGGCTTAGTGGACCTGGCTAGATGGCTCCTTTTCATCCTGACGGCAATGATGCTGTAGCAGACAAGGATCACGGTGAAGGGGATGAGGAACCCACATAAGAATCTGGTTACGATCATAGCTTTGTGCCTCATTCTCCACAGCCGACGTGTCGCCTCAGATTTATAGTCATCAGACAGGGCAAAGTTATTGTAACAGCTGGTGACATTCTTCGAATTAGTAGCCGTGTCTCGAAAAACAAGATACGGAGAGCTGATGATGAAGGCTAGGACCCATGTGAGCAGGGCAATGTTGGAAGCCAACTTTGGTGTCCGGTGGTTATGAGACCACACAGGGCAAATCACCGAAATGCACCGGTCTATGCTGATCACTGTTAGGAGGAAGACGCTAGCAAACATGTTGAGGAAGGCAATGGTGCTGTTCAGTTTGCACAGGAGCTTCCCAAATGGCCAGTGAAAGCCCAGGGCAGTGTAGGCGATGCTGAAGGGCAGAAAAAAGGTGAAGATGAAATCAGCAACAGCCAGGTTTAGAAACCACACGGCATTTACTGTTTTCTTCATCTTGAAGCCAGCGATCCAGATGACCAGGCCATTGCCTGTCACCCCCAGCAGACACGCAAGGCTGTAGACCACCATGGAAAGGATATGCATGCTCTTTTGGAGGCCAGAGAAGTAATTGGACACAGTGGAGTTTTCATGCTGAGTGGTGGAGCTGGTTGAGAACAGCGAAGAGGAAGAGACGTTTTCCATCACCATCTGGGCTCCTGAAACTAGACAAGAACACTTCTGCTATTATTTGCGGCACTGGCAGTTGCCGGGCAATCGGTGTGAGGTGAGAATCTTTGCCAACAACAGCGCACCAAAAACCCGTAAGACCATGAATCTGGGAAATAACTGACATTTAGTATTGACAATGCTTATCTAGAGCTTTTCATCTGAGGCTCTCAACAACACTTTACAAAGGTAGACCTATGTTACTGATGGGGAAAGTGAGGCATAAGGTATTTAAGTACCTTGGCCGAGATCCCAGAAAGGAGGTGCCACAGCTGGCAGTAGGGAAGAGCTGTGTGTGAATATCAGAGGGCTGAAACTGGTCCTAAAGGAGCCCTGTATCTGGTGCCTGATTTTGTCCAACAGTTAAAATAAGATGTTCAGGCGTAAGCTCAGCCGCCATTGGAGCACCTTGGAGCCCCACTACTATAAATGGAAACTCTGAAAGCACAATACCCAACTCACAGGGAGAATCGCACCAGGACGCTTTTCTCCTCTAACAGCAAAAAAGAAGAAAGCCACACACAAAAAGTCTCTATTTCCCTCCAAGCACAGTTGCCAACTTTCACGCAGTAAATAAGCACCCTGATTTTCACAATAAGCCAAAAATCAAGCTAATCCCATTTCAAAACAAGGCCAAAACAAGCCAATCCCTAAGAACCCCAACACTCTATGTGACTAGATTCCCCCCGGCATGCAGTCTGGGACTGTGGTGGGTCCTCTGTGCACCTCTGACTCTCTCCCCCTTTGCCACCCCTTCCCCCTGCTTGCCGGGAGCCGATCAAAAAAAAAGAAGCAACAAGCCAAACAAGCAACAAGCCAAAAACTAGCCAACAAGCAACTCACAAGCCAGTTAAGCCAAAAACAAGCCCAATGTCTGCGTTTTTTTCACGGGTTTGGCATGGCTGCCTCCAAGAAGGAGCGAATTTTTGTGGCAGGGTTACGCGCAGGTGACGCTCCAGTTAGGAGGAGATGGTATTCCAAAGGCTGGCACTGAACGGGTCCTGGAGACCCTAGAGGTTTAGGCTCTGTGTTGACACTGGGCACAGAAGCTACTCTTTCTCTCAGTCGGTGTGATACGGTCACTACCAAATGGAACATTTTAGGATGGGCATGTGGTCTTCTCACTGCTCTAAAAGTCATGGGTGAAATCCTGGTCCCCTAGAAATCAGTGGATGTTTTGCCATCAATTTCAGTGGACTCAGGATCATTGCCCATGTGAAAACTACCCAGGAAATTAATGAGACATGGGCAAGCTACCAAAAAAACACCTCTCTTGCCAGCAGACATCTGCCCACACCTCCCCTAATATGCTCTGAATGGCCCTGCATCTCGCTAGAGATGCTGGTAGGATCGGAGTCTCATGCACTGAATATGGTACCTTATTCTAGCCCTCAGTGATCCTGTTACCTGGTGCTTTATAATTGAATTCTGTTTCAGCAAGGTGCCTTTTAGGATACATCTTTCAGTACAAAGTATAATAATTTATTATAATCTCCCATTTACAAGCAAATCCCCCTTTGAAGTCCCAGCCCCCTCCTGCTTTTTTCACTGCCTCCCACCCCCATTTAATTCCTGGCACTCGGATTAACTTGGGACCACTCACCGCTGCCTTATGCCTCTTACCGCTTCTCTGCTCTCAGCTTCTGGGCACAGTGAGCAGTGCAGCAGCTGGGCTTATTGTCAAGACGCTTTCGAGACAGTGAGTGGCTCTGAGAGTGATTCAGGCTAGCTTGTTTGGTCTTTCCATGGCCTGAGTTCATGGGGAATTTACGGGGCATCATTTATTCCACTGTCTTGTTCCTCAATTTACAGGGAGTAGAATTTAACCCATTGGCATCTCTGGACATAGCCTGTCCCGAGATGTTGTCCTAACCAATCACTTTGGTTGGCAGGATGAAAGACGTCTCAAAGGTGCAGCTGTGAAAATGTGCCAAGTGACCCAACCCCATCCCGAGTGGAAGCTGTAATGCTGGGGACATGTGACCCAATTCACTATTGTATTGGGCTCACAAGTCAAAGAGAATTCCCCAAGCGGATCGCAAAGGGACAGATGCCTCGAGAGACCATCTGAGGTGGGTACAATCTGCCCAGAATGAGGCTTCATGTTGTATTTGGGGGTTGATCCTCAGTGTCTATTTAGCATCAGTGTCTATTTGTGACCCAGGGGTAAGATTGCCCCATAGTGCTGAGCCTCCTGTCTGTCCGCATCAGGGGCAGTTTTTCCACCTGGCCTTTTAATCGTTCCTGAGAACAGGAGGGAACCTGCTCTTACTGCTTTCGATCTCCGATCTCCCTCCTCTGCCATGCGAGACGCACAGGCGCCTGCAGAAGTTGCGGAGGCCCCCTTCTAGGGTTCATTAATTCAAAATCACACCCTTAATGTTGTGTGACGGCTGCCCTCTTGGCTGACACACTGGGGACTGAACCAGTGACCTGCACAGCTATAAAGCTTGTGCGACTGCAACTTGAGTGACAGAGCAACCATTGCAGCTGGGCTGTGCCAATCCTAGCCCATTGGGGGCCCTATGCTGGAATAGCCCCCCACCCTACATACTAATAATTAATGGGGGGGGGAGCTTGAGCTGCGCAGGGCCCTAAGCAATTGCTTAGCCTGCTTATGCCTAGCGCCAGCTCTGGCTGCAATGAGTGCTGGTCTCTGTGGATTGGCACGGATGGAGGGGCTCAGGGGCGGGGGCTGTAACAGTTGCATGGGTGCAGGTGCCTACTGGGGGAAGGAGGAGCGATGCACTGCGAGGACCCGGATAGTAAAGCGCTCTGGGTGTTGGCCAGGCTCCCAGAGGCAAAGAGCTCGCCCTTCCTCAGCCGGCGGGGAGATCCCCCTTGCCTACCCAGAGGCGGATTTACCGCACCCCCAGGCTGTCTGCTAGGGTCGATCTCCCGGTTCCCGCATGCTGAGAGCCGGCGGGGCTCTGCGGCTCTCCATTCTCCCCCCTCCATGCCGGCGGCCATGCTCCCCTCCCGCTGGGCATCGGGCCCCTCCGCCTCCTCCCTCGCCACCCCGCACGTGGCCCGGGCGAGGGGCTCTGGCAAGCCACGAGCATCATCACCCACCCACGTGCTGCTCTGGGGCTGGCGGGCCCGGCCGGCTAGCTCGGCCTGGGCCAATAGTGTGGGGGCAGGGGGCGGGACGGATGGCACGCGCGCCTCCGATTGGTTGAGGCGATTCCGAAGGCTCCAATGGCGGGGCCCGCGGGCTGCTCGGCGATTGGCTGAGAGCGAGGCGGGGCATGTCTGAAGATTCCAGCCCCGGGGCGCGGGGGCATGGTGCTGCTCTAGGTGCGAGTCTGCTCCGAGCTGCGCGCTGGGAGCCTGGTAAGTGCGGCGGATTCCCACCGGGGACCCTCAGCCCTTTCCCAGCGTGGGGGCTGGAGTCTAGAGAGGCCCTGAGCCAGGTGCAGCGGGATCCGGGTAGATCTGTTGGCATTAGCCCCGGGTGCACGTGGGGCTGGGGGTCGCTGTCTCTCTCCCCTTCTCCTGAACTGCCTGGGCTTTGTGCCTTGGCTGGGCTGAGCTGAAAGGAGTTTAGCAGCAGCTGCCTCTGCTCTCTGCATGCGGGGGCTGGGAAAGCAACAGGAAGTTGGAGCCAGGGTCTTGATACTTCTATTTTGGGGATCCCTAGAATCATAGAATATCAGGGTTGGAAGGGACCTCAGGAGGTCATCTAGTCCAACCCCCTGCTCAAAGCAGGACCAGTCCCCAACTAAATCATCCCAGCCAGGGCTTTGTCAAGCCGGGCCTTAAAAACCTCTACAGATGGAGATTCCACCACTGCCCTAGGTAACCCATTCCAGTGTTTCACCACCCTCCTTGTAGATTGCCTGTCTGTCTCTTTTATGCCCCCAGCACCTTGCTGGCTGGGGTGGCAGAATTGAAGTTGGAGGTAACATAGCAGAGGCTGGGGCAAAATCATGTTGAGATGGAAAGTGATTTCCTCCCTCTTTTGCAGCAGCACACGAAGATTTGGGCTTGTTTTAAAGAACGGGGCTGTTGGGAAAGTGGGTTTCAAGTGTAAACTAAATTTCCCCTTAAATCATAGTGACTGAAAGTAGTTAAAGTTCGTGAAGTGGGAGGGAATGGATTCTACACTCTCCTATGTCTAAAACAATCTTTTCTTTGAGGCCTACTGCAGGTGCACAGGAAAATGATAATTATTTTACTGATCGTAATATTTTATAATTTGAATGGGAGCTGTCTCCAGCCAAAATGTATAACACAGACCCTAGCTGAAGGGCACAAAGTGAACTATATAGTGCTTTTCCTGAAGCATCAGGTGTCGGCTACTGCCAGAGTTGAGATACAGGATCTGATGGACCGGTGGGTTGGATACGATCCTTGGATCAGGGACCGTATCCTTTGGTTCCTGTATAGCACTGAATAAACAATAAGCACTTAATGGATAGCATGGTCCAGTGGCTAGGGCCCTGGAATGGGAGGGAGGGAGAGACTCAATTTCATACACGGGGTTCCTTTTCTGCCACTTACTCTTTGTGACTTTTGGCAATTTGCTTAACCCTGCCTTGCTTTCCCCATTGGTGAAGTGGCGAGACCAGTACTTGTCCACCCACCTTCTGTAAAGTACTTGGGGATATACCAGTGAAAAATGCTATACAATAGCTTATTATTTGTTAGTTAATGATGATCTGGTCTGGCAGGAGCTGGGATATCAGCCTGCATGGAATAGCAAATCCTACTTTTCCAACCTAAGCCACATTTCATTCTGACTCCATTTTTGCAATTCAGCTTTTCTGAGATGCAGAATTTACAGTGCCACAAAGATAACAGCAGATTCATGGGGGAATAAAGGTAAATTTAGAATTGCAGGGCGGGAGGAGCTCTCAAGCCTGGGCAGACAACTAAAGTCCATCTGGAAATCTATTTGGCACTAGCAAACAAACTGAGATTGCCTAATTAGCTGTACATGGCCTTTCACTAGCCTTGAGGAGTTAATGTTTAAAAGGAGG